ATGATGAAAATATTTTTTTTCTTCAATATTTTTATAAAATATTCTTATAAAGATAAAAACAAACAAACTTACGTTACTTAAAAATTAATCCAACCAAAGTATTATATCATCTACACTATCGAGCGTGAAAGAAATAATTAAATTATACAAAAAATATAGGGTTAAATTGGATTAATCCACTGCATGCAAATTATGTTTCTTTTAACACAGTTTTTTCGTTTTTCTACCAGATGAATAATAGAGTAATTTGTGTAATGACATAATAAAGTTTTTTAAACGAATAATTGTAGAATTATCGTGCTGGAAATATAATAAATCCTTGTCTCCAACTTAGAATGCATAGCGTGTTGATTGCACCGCTTTGTAACGTGTAAGCTGTGCACCGTGGTAATCGTGCGTATGTTGTAAGCTTGTATTATCACGAATGATGGATTATCAGTAATGCAATATGGAAGATAAGTTGTGCAACGCGGTAGAAATTTTATATCGAAATAATCTGACGTTGAGATTTAGCAAGCGAAACATGGATAGTAACATAATGCATTAATAATAATTGCTTTTGAATTGCTAATCTATTTTGTTACTGGAAATTATATTTTTTCATTTCACGATTTGAGATTACGATTTTACAAATCGTTTAATATCTCTCACGAAACACAAAATTTTTACAAATCGAATTATTATTTTTTATAAAATTATTTGCATTAACGGCTCTTTTTAATAATATAATAGCTCACTTTAGTGTCTCTTGCTAATTCATTATGTTATAAATTCTTGAAATTGAACTTCAAGTGTAAAACAAACTATTAAACAAAATTTGAGAAACTTTATATTTATTCACATTTCCTCTCTTTCAAGTTGAATTCGCGAAATTCACATTTCCAGACTAAGTATCTCCATTTGGTTCAGATTGTAGACACTACAGAGAGCGCCACCGTACTTGCAAATGTCGATTTTTGACGATTTTCAATATGCAAGTAATTATAATTTGCACACTAATATATTCAAACCTCTTCTGTTTTAACAAAAAAACCTTAATATTAATAATAGTAATAATAATAAATGATAAATCCTGAGTTATAAATGAATTCTTCATTTTCTAAAAATCAAACGATACGAAAGTATAAAATCATTTGCCACACCAAAGAGAAGGAAGAGAAAATACCTTTACTTATATAGCTCCACCAGTAAGATAACGTTAATCTCTTTTCGCCACGATCTTGTCGATTAATTCGCCCAGGTTAAAAAAGCTAGATCGCGTGCTCGTAACGAAAACGAATTCTTCTTCGCTCATGAACAGATTACATTCGCGTGTTGGACTTTCGCGCGTTCTTTGTTTCTCTCGTCCACGATCGAAAGTAACGTGGGTGTAATCCACCGTGAGGGGACAATTCGTAATTGTGCGACTGGATTCGTTTACTTGTACCTGGCTTTTTTTTTCCACTTCCCTTTATTCGTTTCTCGTTACTCGTGAAATCGTGCAATAACGCAGTTGCGTAATTCGCACGCAAAGGTTTGCGCCTGTGCGCGGCAAATTAACGAGGAACAAGTTGCATTGCAACGAGGAGGAAATTAAGAAAAATTCATTGCTCTGTAATTATTGCCGCGAAGGAATTTATAACTGGAATTATTCGTGATAAGGTATTGTTCTCTTGTTCCTTTTGTAAAATAGTTTCCCCCTTTCGCGGTCTTGATTAAACTTTATATTTATTATTCATAATTATCGAACGAATTCTCAAGTAATCAGAAAGATAAATAAGAATTGAAATTGAAAACTCCCCATTGTGAATATTTAACGCCTTAGAAGTTAATATAGAGATATACAGAGAGTTGATACGTGCAACGTTTGGAGAGTAAACACGAAAGATGGTGTACAAAAATATATCAGTCGAGATTTATTTATTAAATTACGATTGAAATTTGTTTTTAGAAACAAAGCGAGATAGTAGTGTTATCAGCTTGTTTGTTTTGATCTCTAGAATCAATTCTTCGTAATTCGTATTCCACGAATTTGTTTATAAGGATTTTTTTTAGAGAAGTTGTCATCCTCGCCTGCGAAACATCACGATAGGCTTATGGTAAGCTAGAGCTCGGGTACCCCGGGTGCGCTAAACCCGTACTGCAGTCAAACAACGACTGCAGCCCCTGGGGGGATTATTAACAGCCTGTACAATTGCAAAAATTTCATTCGTGACGAATTGTTAAATATTTACGAGAAGAATAAATATTCTAAGAATAAATAAAAAGGATCTATAAATAGATCCCTATATCTTCGTGCCAATATTACCTATGATATCTATTCTCACTTTTCTTTCTCCAATTTCCTCCAAAATAATCCAGATCTCGTTAGACACAAATCGATTCGAAACTTTTTCGCATCCTCCCCACTTGCGTCGCCACTTGTATCACCTGCACGAGACGTCGAAATTATTTCCAAGTTACGACAACTCTTACGATTGCTTCTCACGAGGAATCGAGAGAAAGAAATTGTTTCGTACCCTTTCCAGTTGTCGAACACCCGGCTACAAAAGGTTCTTTTTACGCGTTTGGAATTGTACGTCACGGCACGAAACGATGAGTGACGACACGTACAAAAAGGGAAGGGAAGGGTTGGAAAGCTGCGCGATCGAAGTTCAAGAGTTGTCGATGGATTCATTAGGGTGTAAACTTGGGAAGGAAGGGACGAACGTTTGAACGTTTTGGTCACAAATTGAATCACACGAAATTTCGCGGTGACAATCTTCTATTTGACTTGGAGCCACCACGTCTGATTTACCGAGGCCTTTGGATACGTCATTCGAGGAGGGAAATCCTTTTGTCTGCCTGTTTTTACGAATTCTTTGGAAATGATTGGGCGAATTAATCTATTGGAATGCTTTATCATCGGATCACACGTTTTTTCTTTTTTTTAAACGTTTTAACGTCTCTCTATTTTCCATCGAGTTGCTTGAATTGTTTGTTTAATTTGTATTGTTTGCTTCTGGGGATTTGGTGGAATCAAAGTATTTGTTTTTATTTGTCGATACGTTTTTAGATTCATTAGGAGAGTGCTTTATGAGTTTAAATAATAATCTTGAGTTCGATAACGTTCAATCAATATTTCATTATGAAACAAATGATTAAAACAAATTAATATTCTCGATGGTTTTTATTTAAATCTATCTAGTAATTCAATTGTATTTTATTTAACAAATTTTTTTTTGGGAATTTAATGAATTTAAAATAGTTGGTTTTATTCTTCAATTCTCTATTTTAAATATAAACTTGATAGCTTTGTGATTTTTGAAAAGTGATTTTGAATTTAGCAATCAGTATCATTCACTCAATATTTCACGGTAAAACAAATAATTAAAACAAGTGAATGATTATAAGATTATTGATTTAAATATATCGATAATTTTAATATTATATAAATTTCAAAATTTTGTCTAAATTTTCCTCTTCTATCACGATTTGGTTTTTAACTTAATATATATACTTTTTCGCATCGTTAATTCTGCAAAATTATAAAGAAAACTATATTATTTCCACAATTTTTCATAAAAAGTATATTAATTAATAATTATAAGAGACTTACTTCCAAATAGCTCGATAAAACTTTCAACAACTTCTAAAAAAAATTCGAAACTTAAAAACTGGCCTCTATCAACATTTTCTATTTCCTCTTCTCTTTATACGTTGATTCACTTGAAGTATGAATTTCCAAAGGGAAATAGAGCTCGATAAAAATTCTCTAAAAACCTCTAAAAAATTACGAACCACCGCTCTATATGATATAACACCTCTTTATCAACACGAAAATTTTTTTCCCCCTCTCCATATACATAATTCATTTGAAATATGAATTTCCAAAAGGAGAGGAGCTCGTTAGAAATTCATTAAGACGATATTTGCGAAGAAATGAGGGTTGCCAGAGAGCGCAGCGGTGTGCAAAACTGTTAATCCGGCTCCCTCCATCCCCAAAAAAGGGTCGATCTTTTTTCTGCGACACGAACACATATACACACACACACATACACACACGTGGATCGGCCGAGTAACGCATTGATCTCTGTCTAGGGAGGCTTTGTGTCTCGTGAACCCCGATTGGGTCAGCCCCGGGCAACCGGAGGTGTTATTTCCAAGTCCAGGGGGATTTCGGTGGGCTTGCCGGGATCGTTTGACATCGTGCAGTGGGGAAGCTGAGTATAATTAACGGCCGCATTCGTCTTGTTACGTGCTTTATCTTTAATTATCGAGCGATAAGATTCAATTGTACACGTCAATTCGTTGACGTTGTTGATCAATCCTGATTGTCATTACATTTCAACCTATTTGTTAAATATTATAGCTGTCATGCAAGATAACAATTTATGAATTAGTTCCATTTTTCTTCAATTATTTAATAATTTCGTTTCCTTGATTGTTGATAAGAATATTTAAGTTGCAGGTATTTCGATTATTTTTATACAGTTTCTTGTGTGATAATAAATATATCGAAGAAAAATTAGCTATCTCTTTGTTAAGAAAAGAGATAATATTGCAGTAATGGCGATGTTGTGAAATTGTCACGAGATTTCTTATTTGGAAGATTTCGTTTATTACAAATATTAAATGATGTTATGCGCGAATTGCATATTAATCGTATAAATGATTTAATTATTTCAATTTCTTGAAACAAATAATTAGACTTCATCATCCAAGAATCCACGGTACATACATTTCCATGATAAATTCGTGTATTTTCAATAACATGGAAATTTTTCCTCGATACGTAATTACAAATCGATAATATTAATCGTATATGTAAAATTTTAATGCATTATTTCAAAATTATGACAAGCGGAATTATGCTTTGTGTATTCAAAGTGCAACGAAACGATAATTCCATGTTAAATACGATTAAATTTTACTTATTATTACTTATTATTATATCGTTGTACTTATTACAATTGGAAATTTCTACATGGATATTTTGGAAACTGGGACTAAGTAAAATTATGCCGTGTTCAAAATTTCAGATCAGAAGGAGAACAGAGGCGCCACGTCTCAACTTTGGAAACAGAAATGAGTTGAGAATCGACTACGATGTTGAGTCGTCTTTCGGCCGTGGTGGCCTCCATTTTGGTTCACCAGCTACACGTTTTGTGTGCCGCCACCTCATTAGGTAAGTAAATGCAAATTTCGAGCTGTTAACTGCTCTGCGCGGTTTAAAGCCTTTTATTCAATTTCCTCACCTGTTTTAATAATTTTTTTTTCAAGCATGTACATCAGAAATATCAAGATTTTTGTACAAAGTAATTAATTTATTTTTGTACAAGATTCTATATATTCTTCTTTTTTTTTTTTTTCGTTTTACATTACATGCTTCATTTCATCCTTGAATCGAAATATTTTTCATTTAATCCACTAAAACTGAACGTAAAATAATTTAATATTGGAACGCTTACGACAGCTGACAGAATCAGCTTTACATTTTGCTTAAACATCAGCACGTCAAAGCATATAAATTTATTAAAGCGGATGTAAAAGCAGATGTCACTTTTTCTTTTTTAAGGAAAACTTTTAAAATAAAATTCAAAAATAAAAGTGCGTGTTTTTGTTAAATTAATTCAAACATTATTTCATATTTCTTATATGCATGAATTATTTTTAATTTACTTCCAATTTTGAATTACTTCCAATTATTTATTTGAAGATTTAAATCAACAATTCTTTTCTTTCTAAATATAATTTTATAACGATGCGATATCAAAATTTTAAATTATTTTTAGAAGAATTCAATTATCCAATTGTGAAGAAAATTCCCAGAAAGAATTGTATTCCCAGAAACGCACAAAAAAAAAAAAAGAAATACAGAACAGTTATAATATTTTCCAGAATAACGTATAATATTTTTCGCGCGGTAAAAATAAAAAAAAACGAAAGAGATGAAAATTAATACCAGCTACTTTCGAGTCGCCATTTAAAGATCAATCGCCTTTCAGCGGCAGGTGACAATAATTTCGTTAAATCCCCGATTCGTCCCTTGGCGAACAATGTTGGCCCAGTCCGAGGGTTGTCCACCCTTCTGGAGACAGGAAATATCGGTTGTGAAAGTCGGATATCGGTGAGGGGATGATTATATTCGTTGAGTAACGGGTTGCGGGCCGAATGCTCGACTCCCAGACATTGTCCTATAATTTTCCAATTAAGGCATTGGATTTCCATAAATCCTATGGCCATGGACAGGATCCATAAATTCGACGTCGTACCGAGGGACAAGTCACGTTCAATTCAATGCTGTTTTCCATTTCATGCTCTTACATTCTCAACGGTGTGATGATATAAAGTGTTTTCGAGTTGCGATTTCTTTCTACGGTAAAAAATAATTTGTTAGTCTATTTTACGTAAAATATAAGGTAGATTTAAGAAAAAAGTATGAATTTAACGAAGAACGTACCATTAAAATTGAGTATTTCAGGATGTAATATTTAATGTATTTATTATCATTGAAATTTGATGATGGATAATATATAAATTGTATCGAGGATTTATTTTAGATTTCGAGTAATTGAGTTTTATTGTTTTTTTGTTTGTTGAAAACGTGATTTATTTGATTTGATTTGATGCTATTGAATTTTTGGTAGATTGAATAGGATCGAAAATAATAGGACGGCAAAGGTAATTTGTTTCTTGTGCATGAAAGGTTTCAAAAAAACACTGCAGGATAGTTTCTTTTATAATTTATCAAAAAGAGAAGGCGTATAAATTATATAAATTTTGTAAAAGCTTGTCTAGAGATAAATAATACATTACAAGTTTTCTTTCTTCATCGAGAAATTTGCATTTTTTAACTCGAATTTTCGAAAAGATTGTCTATCTTATAAAAGGAACGAAATTCTCTTTTCCTTATACTTTTTTTTTATTATAAAATGCATATTTTTAATAAATTTGTCGTATAATCTATCAAAAAAAGAATTCTAAATTCAATTTCTAAAATATCCATGGAATAAAATGAAATTCTTGTACGATATTTTATTTGAAATTTTAATTTTCTGCATTAAAAATTATTTTGCTCATTAATGTGTTTATTCAAAGTTTATTTAACCCATGCAAATGTTCTTGTTCCAGTTATCGATGAAACAATCATCATACAATAGGCATGTTAAATTATTAAAATATTTGTACAATTTAATAATTTTTTATCTTTTTTATTTTTAAAAGAATAACATATCTAGTAACGATAAGATGATTTAAATAAATTAAAAATATAATTACGCTTTCTTCTAAAATTATGAAATATTGATAGATACAGTTCAAATACGTACATGCATACATACATATATGGTATGTCCACTGAAATTATATCGAATACAGTATAAACACATAATATTCAACCCAATAGTCCAAAAGTCCATTTTAATATTTGACCAACATCGACTAATATATCGGTTTACCAACATTTCATTTTACACACACATTTGTCAATATTACATTCACAGACATTTATTAATACCCCATTTCATTCCGTCAATATTTACCAATATTTCTTTCCAACACGGATATTTAATATTCCATCGATTTTTAGATTGTATTAAATATATATTATTTTATACAATTGTATATTTAATATACAAATAGGACACAATGTAAATTAGACAACAAGCGAATCAAACTTTCTTCTCTATCCTCCTCGTTACTTAATAAAATACAAACTCCTTATCATCTCTGTAAATTAACAATTCGATAATATTATAATAATAATAATAATTATAATAATGATTGGACCACGTACACTTATTATTAAACTCCCGTTCATTGTTCATTTAGTCCAATATATTCCATCATATTCGAAAAGATTATCGGCTGGATTGCATTATCGAAGCAATTTAAAACGTTCAAGTTGGCCTCAAGTTGATGTGTTCGCAAACAATTTCCTTTGTATCGCTCGATGCGGACCCCGTCCAGTAATCCCGTGGACGACATTCCCTGGACGTATTCGAAATCCTGACCGGTAACCGGGTTTATCCTTTCGGGAAGATTATGTGCTCCGTCTTTCCAGCAGATATTAGAAGTCTTTTCGTTCCTTCTCCCCGGGAGTGGCGGTGAATTCACCTTCCGAGATTGGTCCTGCCAGAAAGGATCCTCTTCTCTCCTCACCTCTCTCTCGGTTCGAGCTGATAAATTTCTCCAGGATTATCCTGTCGTTCTTCGAAAAATCGTTAGAAACGCGAGGAAGCGTCCGGTGGAATCGAGAATTTAAAGGGAAGTTATCTGAATCTTGTAAAAGAGGGTTGAAAATTGGGAGAAAATGAGACACGGTTGGACCTTTTTTTGGAGAGGGATCAAGATGATCCTGGTAATCGAGAATTCGTAGGTTTATAATTTCTATTGCTCGTCGAACGGGGAAGAGAGTTTTGATTGAACATGGATAGAATATTGAAGATTCTAATAAATCCATTTTGAAAATATGTCTGTAGGATGCTTTTAATTGATTCTAGAGTCTGAAACAAATATAAAAGTTAATACAAGTATAAAAATGTCGTTCGAGGTTTATTTATTATTAGCTTATTGGTCGTGAGCAATGGAAATTCGTTTTGACGACAGAGGAAGACACCAGTATGATTAGCTGATAGAGCTGTCTCACTCTATCTCCGTCTCTCTCTGTCTTCTCCTTTCCTCGCCTCATTCAATGAACATATTTACAACTTAATAAATAAACCTCGATATTTTTGTATACAAACTTCTGTGTTTATTATCAGTCTCTCTAAACTCTTCCACAATTGTATTAATATCTTAATATTTACATATATAAATAAGAATACGAGTCTACAAACTTTCTATCCAAGATAAGAGACTAACAATTTTTCTAGGCTCAGGAAAATAGAAGAAGCATTTTGCAGAATTAAAATTAAATTCAGAACAAATTGTCAAAAAGTCTAAATCTGTCCAAAGGGAACGAGCTATTAAAATTATGACAAGCGAGGGATTACTTTTTTTTTTTTTTCTCTCTCGTAGTTCTCATCGAGTTACGCGCCATTGAGAAGCCGGAAAAAGTAATAAAGCCTGTTCGTGTTAGCCTTCTCCTTTTGAGTTGAAACCGGAGAAACTGAACAATCTCGTAGGTTATAAAGGGCCGCGATGGCGGGCGGGAGAGGCACGGCCCAACCGTGGGAAATAAAGTAAGGAAAGTGGAATTCGAAAGACCGCAAGGGAACGCAATATCTTTCCATCGAATTCGGTTGAAACGGCGACGAGCCGTTCTTCCGGAAGAACTTGGAACACGAATACCGGTTCCTTTCATTTCCTCCACGGGGAGGAAGACCGATTTAACGCCCTGAGATTATCTTCCTGAACGAACTTTTAACTGGCGTACAATGAGATTATAGCGGAATTTCGATTACCTCGAGTTTTAATTTTTTTAATTTCCTATAAAGATCATAGAGTTAGTTCGTTATTCTTCTTTTATTGTAACAGGGTATGCTTCCAATTTAAACATTCATTGATCTTAACAACTTTCAAGAATAGTTCAGGAAATGATACGTACGATTTGTTTCTCTTCATAATTTTTTAGCACTTCCAATTTTCGAAGGAAAGAAATAATAGTTTTCTATCGTCTATAAATTTCAGTGTTAAAAAGTTAACTTTTTTTGATAAAAATTCAAGATCATTTTAATTTCGATTCGAGAAATATGGGGTCAATGAACGCGAACTAATTTTCCTGAAAATTCATTTTATTCAAATTTTTTACGAGGACACATTTTTTCTCGATTATTCTAGCGTAAAAAAAAAAAAAAAGAAAAAAAAAAATAGCAAAAATATCGAACCAAAGTATCAAATCTCGCGTACCTCAAAATCACAGAATATTACTACCCCGCGTATGAAAAATATTTTTATCCGTTCAATAAAAATTTTATCCTCGAGTTATCATAGATTATCAGTGGTGTGCAAAAAATATCGTATTTTTATTTGTTTTATATATATTGTTAAAATGATTGGAAGTTTTAACGGCTTAGCGCAGAGCAACAATATAGCATAGGTAGCAGCTTGCAAGTTTTCAATGTTGCTCGAAGTTTTTCGATTTTTAGAGGCAACGTTTTTTCCTTTAACGATTTTCGCGTAAAGTTTATGGTACAAAGTGTTTTGTATAGAGTTTAGAAGCTACCGTAGCCTCAATCTCAGTGC